AATAACAACCCCTTGATTTTGTATTTGATTTCCCATATTCAACATCACTTCTTCCATCGTCAACTTCTTTTCCTTAACTTGTGGGTTAGGATTGGAGTTAAATCCTGGAGGATAATAAGGTCGAAAATTAGAGTTTCCTTGATTGTTCAGATTTACAGATAGATTCACCGAATTATTATAATTATTCCAACTAAAATTAGGGTGATTTTTCCATCCAGGGTTAAAATAGTTAGAATAGGGATTGTTATTTCGATTATTTATAGTGTTTAAGTTGCTCAGTATAATCGATACAACATTCTTGTACTAAGCAAAATTTCTTAATGATAATTATGCATCAAAATTTATAAATCTTTGAGGCAAATCAGTACAAATATGTAGTACACAGTTGTATTGAGCTGCATTATAAGTATTCTAATATTAATCATGTGGTTTTGTGCAACCTTTTTGCATTGGTTGTACCGATGAAAAAATATTTTAAAAAATGGATGCTTAATTAGAGCACAAAAAATACAAGAAGTATTCTTAAAGAAACTCATGCTTTGATTCTATATACAATCAAATTCATTCAAACAACCATGTTCTCATTTTTTATTACAATATCTAAAAATTCCTTATTTCATAACCATATGATTCTTTTCCTTATTATATATGGGTTGTTATGCTTCATTACAACTAAAAATTCCTTTGCCTAATTATGTCTGTCATCATCTCAGTGTAGCCAATGAATGCATTATTTCTATTTGAAGATGGCATGAATTCTTGTTAATGTGGATATACCATTAGCACACGATAGCAAAACCTTGGAATAAAAATTAATATCCTTGCAATGGGACCTTTGTTAAACATTGAGGCATATTAGAGAGAAGTAGTAGCAGATATTGTGAAACACTGAGACATATCAGAGAAAGAGATTGTTTTCAATGCTTTTTCATGATCTTAAACTATTGTTTATTTATTTTTGTTTTTCGTTATAATAACATTGAGTCAGCCGCGAGAAAAAAATTATAAAAAATGTAAAAATAACTAATATAAGAATTACTATTATATTCTTTTGTTCTCCATGTGAGATTTTAATCTTGCATTAGTAACACCCTTTGCTTGTTTTTTGGCTGAGTCTTTTGCCCGTACATCACCTTTCTCAGTAGTCTTTTCCTTCTTCATATCTTTGTAATTTCAAATGAGTTCCCTCCACGTATTGGTTCGATATCATCTCATAACTTCTTCAAAGTGTCTAATATATATTATTCCGTCTCTTTTTTACCTTATGCTATGTTGCTTATTTGACACAAATACTTACTAATGTGATTACAAAATATAAATGAAATGTAAGACCCACTACTTCCTTCACACTCTCTAAGTTTATTATAAGCAGTATCAGAGTAAATATTTTTCATTGTTTTGCAGGACCACTTCATTAACATATACCTTTTTGGTATTCTAACAACATGTTTTTGACACAAAACCTTGATGTAGTGGGAATAAAGTAATCCAATTATCTCAAATTTCCTGCAACTAAACTACATGGTGGAATTGATTTTATCATATTGGACAATCCAAATCATAGAATTTCCATTATTATCCAAGTTTCTAACCATGTTTTTTGAAGAACTTTGATCAATTTTTTCTGCTGCCAGTCCACATGCCCTGTGTAGATATTCATTTTCCAATAAGGAATATAGCCTTCTTAGGTAGAATGCAGCAACTAGCTTCAATATTGGGCTACTTCTTGCAATGTGAACAATCACAGACTGTTTACATTTAAAATTCTCATCTTGTTCATTTCTTTTCCATATATCCATGATCATTTTCAATCCTAGAAAACAATCAATGATGAAACTTGTGGGCTTAGAAATTCCATGACACATATTATTTGCAAACTCACTGCATTATGCTGATAAATATTTTATACAGAAAGTATCTTTATTGATTGTTGTAGACCGCTTGGTTTTAATTCTATATAACTTATTTGACCAAGAATTATCTTGGAGGTTTTCTTTCCAATCATATTAGACTATGCTTGCTCAAACTCCTCTTCTGTATCACATTTACTTGTGCATGTGTAAAATAGGTTTTTAACTATCTTGTTTCCATTGAAGCAATGAAATTTCGAAGGAGCATTCTTAAGGATATGCCAACGGCATAGTTTATGTCGAGTGCGCGACAACGCAACTTTTATGACCCTTATCATAGCTTGGTCTCATCAGTGAATATTGTTGCAGGGTACTTATCATCCATTGTGCAGATAAAAGTTTTGAATAGCCAGTTGAACTGCTCAATTATCTCTTCTAATAAAAATGCTACTCCAAACAAAATATTTTGCAAATGATGATGAACTCCTATGGATCACTAGCTAAATTGTACTTATTAAGTCGATAACTTGTATAAAAAAACTATGACACCACCGAAGCATTCATAGTTATTCCTTGCCATGCCATTAGTCCAAAACAAATTAATCAGTCTATCTGGCGCATCAAATCGAACATCCCTTGCAAACATTTTTTTTCAGCCTGTCTTTTCTTAAATAATTACATTAGAGAATTAGTATCACCATTCTCAATTCTTGCTCCATTATATTTTTATATATGATTATATGCTTCTCTTCCCGTAAAATCTAGATTTTCTATTCCTTCAACTTCCTCAGCAAGATACCAGAATGCATCAATAGTTATAATTCCTGCTTGTGTCATTGATTGCAACACAATCTCTTTGTCTTTTTTGATTCCTCGGTGTGATCTCAATAGATGTTGATCAGTTGACATGACTAATGATTGGTTGTGTCTACAAATTTATTTACAATCCAATTACCTTCAAGATCAACAACAAATCTAATTATTACATGACAACCACTTCTACTGTCTAATTTATGGAACTTCATCTCGGTGCTTAGATTGAGTCCTTTCTTAAAACCAGCCTTTGAGCATAAAAAATCCTTTGATTTTATATTCATTATTCTTGATGTGTAACACACATGATCTTTCCTTACACTGAATCCATAAAAGTGAGCATAAGAGCAATAAATATCATAGGCTTCATTCTCGTTGTGCACAATTGCACAAATTAAATCTTCGATAATTGGTTCATAAATTTTATGATTGACATTATTACTTGCAAGTTCTGACATATGGTCCTATAAATTCAACATAAAATAAATTAGTAAAACCAATAGAACATTGAATTGTTCCCTTCAGTACAACCGTATTGTATCGGTTCTATAAAAATAACTTAGTACAACCAATACAATATGATTATACAAGTAGTGATAAATCAGTAAATCCTATTCATGAGGAAAAAAAATACAAATTTATTCTTTCTATATATACAATTTTTTTTATTGTTATGTTACAATTTTTGTTATGTTACAATTTTTTGTAACAGATAGAACATTGCATAGCGACCTTTGGTACAACCATGTTGCATTGGTTGTATTGAGATAAATCGGTACAACTAATACAAAATGACTATATAAGTAGTGATAAACTATTCAATCATATATAGGAGGAAAAAAAATACAAATTCATTCTTTCTATATATATACTTCTTTTAATGGTTATGTTACGATATTTTACAAGGGATACAATATTGCATTGTTCCTTTCGGTACAACTATGTTGTATCGGTTGTACTGATTACTACTGATTTTTAGTAATCAGTACAACCATTTTTAGTAATCAGTACAACCAATACAACATGATTGCACAAATAATGATAAATCAGTCAATCATAACATTGAGGGAAAATAAAAATTAGAAATTCATCCTTTCTATATACAATTCTTTTTATTTAAGTTAAGATTTCTTATAACTAATAAAACATTAGATTGATACAACCTTATTATATTGGTTGTAGTGAGATAAATCAGTACAACGAAAATAACATGACTGTACAAGAAGTGATAAATCAGTTAATCATAACTAAGAAAAAACAAAAAAATAGAAATTCATACTTTATATATGCAATTTTTATTTTTATGTTACGATTTTTTACAATTCATAGAACGTTGCATTGTAACCTTCGATACAACTATGTTGTATCGATTGTACTGAGATAAATCAATACAATCAATACAACATGATTGTACAAGTAGTGATAAATCAATCAATATAATCCATGAGAAAAAACAAAAATCACAAATTTCATTATTTCTATATATACATTTATTTTAGTGTTATGTTACTATTTTTTACAAGAGATAGTATATGGTTTTACAAGCTCAAATTAGCCAATCCTAGCGACAAGAATAAGCAAAAATTAAAAACTCATTCATCAGCATAAAATCAAGACTGTTTTCTTCGAATATAAATTATTAAATATTACATGTATCAAACCGTTTCAATTAATAAAAATAAATAAAGCTTACATGTTAACATGCAAACAAAATTTTGTTTCAAAATTACCGATGAGTTCAAGTCCTTAATTTCATCGCTAGAAAAAGAACCAAATATGACTTCAGGGTTGTTTAAGTTATCATTCTTGTTGTTCTCCATTCTCAAGAGTCTTCCTGAGTTTCAACAACGACAACGATTTTTTCCTTAGTCTCGACAATGATAACACTTTATTCATGATGTTCCACAATGACAAATCTTTTATACATAAACCCTAAAATTACACGAACCAATGTTCTTATTTTGTTTTCAAATTTGTTGGCACGTTCTTTTCTTACATTAAAATGACGTGCCAATATCCTACGACAGGCTGAGTCGAACTACATCGTTTATTATAAATTTTTTAGAATAAAATAATAATAAAAAAAATAAAAACGCGTGATATATTTGCATTGGCTTCAATACATGCCTTTATGTGCATCATCTGGACAAAATAAATTTCCCATCCGAAGATATATTCATAGGCGTGTCATGCAGAAAACCATTGATTTACATCTAACGGTTGAAAATTCCCATGGCAGGCTCCGGATAAAGCTAGGGTTACATTCTATAAGTACTCTCCTTGCGCGAACGGGCGCTAGAACTCGAGCGGCGGTCTCTCGTCATTGTTTGCCATGGGTGAGAAGAAAGCAGTTATTTTTCTCGTTGAAGTTCTTTCCTTTCGATCTGCAGCGGGGATTTGCATTTCGTATGGATTGTTCATTATTTACAGTAGAAATGATTTGCAGGAAAGGTGCACGGATCTCTGGCTCGCGCTGGCAAAGTGAGGGGGCAAACGCCGAAGGTGGCGAAACAAGATAAGAAGAAGAAGCCGAGGGGGAGGGCCTACAAAAGGATGCAATACAATCGCCGCTTCGTCACCGCCGGTGAGCTCTGCAATCCATATTTTATAGCTTTTTAAAGAAAGGGCTTGCTTTTTATGATTTAATTGTTTTTTCAGTTGTTGGATTCGGGAAGAAGAGGGGACCTAACTCGTCTGAGAAGTAAAGATCGGGATTGCAAACTTTGTAGGAGTAAATTTCTGATTTTTGTTTGTTTTTTAAGTAATTTATGGCGTTTACCTTATTTTGTTGATGCTGTTCAAAACTTCGAGTATGAATTAACATTGTATATGAACTTCTTTCGTATTCTATGCATGAGATGTTATAAATTTATCACTTTCTAGTCTTGCTTTTTTAGTTGGATTCATTTTCTTGTGATATTTTATCTTTGTGTGGGATTTACATACAGACCATACCACTCAATTCCTATGTATTTTCATATCAATCTCCTAAGCTTTACTTTCTACATTTCTATCACCCCAATCCTTAATATCACATCAAATATACTACTATTTTAACTTTTAAAAAGTGAAATATATCTGTGTATAGGTAGGTGACATTTATGCAAAAATGAAGTTTTGGTGTTAGATATGACAATACATGGAAATTGAGTTGTATGTATGTAATTCTTTCTTAAGTTTTTTTTTTAATTTTTTGCTTGATGTAAGTTTGTTTTGTTACATCTATCGTTCAATGCATGAGGGAAGCCAGGATTCCAATCCTAATACATATTCTGTATAAGGGGAAAATCACAGTAGTAAGTCTACTCTTCAAACAATGGGTCTACATGGTTGTTCTTGTTGGTCAAGTTAAAATTTTGCAAACAGATGAGCTATTCACTAGGCCTTTGATAGTGTTAACTAGTGGCTTGTAATGGTATTTATAGTACATCAATTGGTTAAGGTGCATGATAAATGTTCCGTTCTTTATTATTATCAAAGGTGAGCTTTAAGGTTATTTTAATTCTAAAAATGATTTGAGACACGTCTGCCCCTATACTTCTTTCCCTTTTTTCGAGTACTGGAGGAATGTTTGCTCCCTCTTCTGTGTTTCTCATTGATGTGAATGAAGATATTTATACATGATTGCCCATCTACCAATGTTTGGCTGAATCCCATGATTCCTGAATCTACTGAAAGAGTAAAGTAAGTTGTTCCCATATTTAGTTAAGTTCCTTGATTCATGTTAAATTCACTGATTAAAGGGATTTAAAAAATTCAAATTTATTGACTGTGTGAAACAGTAAAGTTGTACACATATTTAAAGTAAGCTTTTTCTTCAGTATGCCTTTATATTTTGGAGCTGCAATTGGAAAATTCAACCTAGAAACAAAAATGGAGAAGTCTATCATGTGATAGATTTTGAGTGCGTCATCAAAGTTGTCATCATCAGGGCATCTGCAGAACATGTACCATTTGAAATTTCTCATATTGGACTTTTATATTGAATGAAAAAAGGTCAAGGGTGTTTCTTGTGAGAGTGAATAACCTGATTGGCTCAAACAATTTATGCTCTAATATTACTGCTCTAGATTATTAGAGTGCCAGAAAGAGTGATACTCAATTCAAAGATTGTTGTAGTCCTTTTCTTGATGTTTTTTTTTTTTGAACGGAGAGGTGGCAATTGCTTTTTTTAAGGACCTTTGAGAGAGGACATTGCAACTGTGATTTGATGATATAGGGCTCATTTGAGTCATAATTAGAGTTCAAACGTCTACTATTGATTTAATTCACATCACTAAAGACATGGGGTACATGAGGAGGGTGGAAATAAAGTTTAATAACATTAATGGCTCGTTTGAGGTCGCGGTTCGACTTCATTGCGGTGTATAGAAAGCGGAGAAGCTGGAGAATTGTTGTTTGGATCAACACCTTCTTCGAGCTTCACGTTTACCTCAATGTCGCCTTTCACCAAATTCCGAACGTGACGAGGCTGACTCTTTGCACGGACGTTTTGCGATAGGTAAGTACAAATGTCCATCTTATCCTCTGATTCACATCTCTATCACTGTGATTTCACACCTAGTCCGTTCTCCTTTCCATCGGTCATACCACCGTCCGCGACAGGCTCCATGTTTGCTCGTCTTCCTTTCTTTCTCGATGTTGACAAATCAGCAGCATGATACGACAACATCCACTACCTCCTTAGCATCTTTGCCGTCGCCACTGCATCCTGCCTGCCTTCTCTTCACTTTTTTTCATCAAGCTTCGCAATGATCACAACATCGACCGCTATCGCTTTGGCTTCTCTCTTCATCATTGCACTCATCACACCTTCTCTCCCTCTCAACCTCTGCGTTGGCGATGCCCCCGATATGAGTAGAAGTAGGAAGAACTCCGACAGTTAGAGCTTGCAATTCGATTTCCAGAGCAGGAGGTGACAGGCTATAAATGTCTTTTAACTTCCAAATAGAGTTAAGAAGTTGTACATCATTTTTTATATTCAAACACTCACTCAACTTTAGGGGAATTTAAATTTTAATGCCGCTTTTTCAGATTTCATTTTTAAAGAGACTTTTCTCAGCGGCAACGCGTCTTCAAATGAAACCTAAGGGTGCCAGATAAGCTGCACAGTTTATTTTTTACTAGTATTCAATGTACATTAATTAAAGCTTGTGACAACGAAATGTTGGGGTGGGTGAGAAATGAACAAATTTCAACCGTGTCATCACTTAGATTTAGATCATAAATTGGAGTATCATAATTCAAACTGAGAATCAGGGTTGTGGCTATGGTTATGTCAACAGGATGTGCTCTTAACATCTTGGTTTGTTCAAGGATGTCAATAACGTATCATCGTTGGGGAGAAACATTCCTTACACATTGAGTTATAACATCGACACCATGTAAATTTTAGAGGCTAAGATCCATGATTGAGAAACGAATAGCAAGGTCATTGTTGGTGATAATTATGCCACCAAGAACCACGAGGAAATAAATAGCGTGACTTTCATTTTTGAGCACAACTAATGATGTGCCATCATTGGTACTGACAAAATCCAAAGGCTTTATGTAACTGACGAAGATCAATGCGCTAGGCTGGAGGGGTTTGTGTGAGTCTATATATAGCTTTGTGAAGCTTTTAAACATTAGTGGAATGATCATGATCAACAAAGCCAGTAGGTTTCGCTATTTATGCTTTACTTTTGGGATGGCTTGGGAGATAGATTCTCATTCACGTCAAGTTGACAAACGGACTAGTCTTGTGTCAGAATACTGCAAATGGTACTTACGCTATTTATGCTTTACTTTTGGGATGGCTTGGGGGATAGATTCTCATTCACGTCAAGTTGACAAACGAACTAGTCTTGTGTCAGAATACTGCAAATGGTACTTAATTTAAGCTAAAAGTGTCATGATAGTCAACTCCATTCATTTTTGAAAGCCTTTTACCAAAGATGTGCTTATACTTATAAATGAAACATTCAGGAAGATGTTTAATTTAAAAAAAAATTCATTCTTCAGAGGTTCAATCTTTTAGAGAGGTTAATTGGACGTTGTGGTTGAATTTTTGTGTGGGTTTATGAATATTATTTTTTAGATCCGTTAATGTTTGAAAGTGTTAGTGGAGGTTGAAACTAGAGATGTCGGGTGATATTTGTTTGTTAGGAGTGGCACTTGTCAGATTAGCTCAAAGTATGTTGTCTTGGCATAAGTGGCTCGAGACTTAGTTAGCTTTGGCAAGAAGACGTTGATGGATTGTGAAATGTGGAGAATGAGAGGTTCCATCATAAATAAATTCATAAATGTAGAGTTTCATGTGATGAGGGATAGATGGTGATAGGTGTGAAGAGGATGATGTTTTCAGCAAATTTAGCATGTCAGGAGACATTGTGGAGGTGGTAGGTAGGATCATGATGTTGATAGCCCTTTGTTTGAGAGAGTATGCAATAAAGATGCAAGGAGAGGAGCATGGAGTTAGTTTGTGGGGTTGTGTTTGATGATATAAAATTGCTCCTTGAGATGGCAGAGGCTCCTATGGTTGCTGAATATTAGGTAATACCTGACTCAAGGTTCTATGAAATTCATTTCCACAATACAACAACGGCAACAACAAGAAGCCTTTATCCCATTAAGTGGGGCTGGCTAAATGAATCCTTATTTTCACAATATATAGTTATATTTAAGTTAGTTTTAGTGGAGATTGTGAGATGACATTGATGTAGATCAGGTATGAAGCAGGTCCTTTGCGTGACAAGGTTATAAATTATCTTATCTTCTGTAAGATATTATTCTACATTTCACATAAAGGTGATTTAACCAGCATCCTTCTATAACAACAAATTAATAAATGGCATATCCCAACTAAATGAAATACAGAACCAATTTAATAAATTTTAGTGAGAGATCAGGTATCAATTCTACATATTCCTTCATCAAGAAAACAATCCTTTTGCTTGTTATTCATTACAAAAGCAATCATTTGTTGTCTGAAAAACTGATTAGAAAAACACCAAAATAGTTATTTTGGTTGAAGGTGCCAACAAATGACCAATATAGCTATCATTTCCAAATCCGGATTAAAGCCTTTTGATCTAACTGGCTTGCTTATGACGAAGATAAATCTTGTTTCCCCTCAAATCCTTACATCATCAAACAAAGCCTTTTTCCTGACGGCGTCAATACTCTGGTAGCTGCAAATAATGCCATTGTTGCTGCCACTGCAGCGTCTTTGTCGCCATTATTTCACCTTTGCGCTGGAGGTTGTGCTACGAAAAACTGAAGGCCTAACTGTAGCCTATCCAATGCTTTAGCTTCTCCCCATGCTTTGAATAATAAAGCTGGGAATTCTTTTACCACAAAAGCCTTTAAAACATTAAATGAAGGCTCCAAATTTATTTTTCTAAATATTTGGTTGTTTATTGTCTAAAAAGTTTTTGTTTGAGTCTAAAATTGAATACATGAAATGTAATTTTAGTAGCAGCAGCTCTAATGGCAGAATTGTTATTATGGGTGATCAAATCATTAAAAGATGTGATCGTTTTAGATATCTTGGGCCTATTGTTCAAAGCGATGGTGATATAGATGGGGATGTTCTAGTAGAATTCAAGTTGGTTGGTTGAAGTGGAAGAATTCGTCGGTCTTACTGTGTGATAGAAATGTACTGCTTAGATTGAAATGAAATTTTTATAAGATGGTGGTGAGAGACCGGCAATGCTCTATAGCGCTGAATGTTGTCCTTTAAAAGAGAAGCATAAAACAAAGTAAAGTCTTCTTGAGATGAGAATGCTTAGGTGGATGAGTTGCTTGACACTTGGAGACAATGTGAAATGAATGTATCTGTGATAGAGTTGGTGTGGCTCCAGTGGCATACAAGTTTAGAGAGTTATCTTAGATGGTTTGG